CGTCTTCAGGTTTTGCTCCACTGATCATGTGACTCTGGTTGTAATGCATAAAAAGTTTCTGTTGCAGTTTTGGAAAATAAACGGATTAATATGGCCAAAGACCAACTCAACGAAAAACAAGCTGCTTTTTGTTGCCATGTTTTCATGAAGGAAATTTATTTTCAAAATGTCAAATTGTGAAATGATATGGTCAAAGGAAATGCAGCTCTTGCCTCTTTCTCATTGTTTTCTGCTCCTCTTCGCAGCTGTTAATCGTTTGCCTCTTCCTGCTCCTTTCCCCAGCTGCAACCACTCACCTGTAATTAGCTCTCCTGCCTCATTTATGTCATTTCCTTTTCTCTCATCATAAACACATCTGACTGCTTTGAGTGCAGAAAGAAGTATAGTTGGGTCTAACAGAAGAGCAGGCATACAGTCAAAACATTAAAATACTGAAAATAATCTTTTAAAAAGTTGTTAAACTCATATTTCTGTATTAAAATATTTTTTCAATTTGTTTTATGTAATATTCTAATGTTACATGAAATAGTTTTAACAGAGATAAAACATCAATGTACCTGCAATAATCTACATAATATATAAACAATGCGAGTTATGAAGGAACTTCTAATTAACATTTTTAATTTATTGCATAGGTCTGCATGCCTCCCTGTAAACCTGGGGTTTCATATAAACTTTACATTTCTCCATGCAGATCGGTTCTGCTTACTGTGCATTGTGTAATGCTGGAGTCATCAAGAACAGAGATAAGAAGCAGAAGAAAGATTCCTCCTCAGGGACGACCGTAATGAAGCTCCTGGGAAGGAAAGGAGGAAGATAAAGATGGAAAACGCAGAAATTCACAGGTAGAAGCAGCTCCTGTGGCCTGTGGTCACATTTTATCTAAACCAGACTCCTCAGAATACCAGCGCAGCGTGACGCAAAAACCTGCCATGAATATTCATCAGCCTCACAGGGAAACTTCTTGGATATTTAACTACATCTAAAGTTTGCTCCGTCTTCTTGGATTTGTTTTTAGCTCTTATGCTTCCATGCTTCTTGCCATCTGTCTGTCTGAGAGATTTTTTTTTTTCTAAGACGTAACATGGTGTCCCCAAGGAGGAGCTGAATCTGAGCTGAATCCATTTAAACTGAACAAGGTTCATCTGTCTCACTTGTGTCAAGAGAAGAACTTCTTCCAATATAGAAGAGAAATGGATCCGGAACATTCCTCTCCAGCCCAGTCGGAGGTCTGACTGGAGGCGTTTCAGAAAACTCACTCTGGTATTTCTGCACCGTCAACAGGTGCTAGCTATAGCCACTTTATTAGTTAGATCTGTTGTTTATGCAAATAGTGAATCAGCCAATCAGATGCCTGCAGATCAAAGCATTTGGGAGCTTAGACTCCTTGGAGACGAGTTTCTGAAGTTCAGTCATGACATGAGAATCGTTTTTTTTTATATTTTTGTTTTGGTATCTCAGAAACTTACATTTTCACACTCAATCGTCTCAGTTTTACAGGAAATAGTCTCAGAAAAAGGAATCTATCCGTTCACAAAAGCCTTTCCTATTCCATTCCTCTAGTCCAGATGTCTCATTCTCGCGGCCCGCAGGACTTTGTCTTGTGGCCCC